CGTAACTGTTCCCAAAGAAAGCAGAAGGGTTAATGTAGACCCAGCAGAGCTTCATTGGGAAACACACGGAGAGGTGGCTACTGCACCTCGCGCTGACAAACACAGAGCGACTGCAGGAGATGGGAAGGTGGGGGCAGCCTCGGCTGCAGTGACCAATTATTTGCCTATTTATATGATAAAATTTCAATCCTTGTGTTTAGAAAAGGATATTTGAATTGTGTTCTTGACCTGAGCTCAAATTGCAAACATCCTGTTCAGTTCCAAACATGTATTCCTCATTATCTTCAGTGTATAAAATTCACTTCGACATAGAAAGCTAATATTAGACATATGCCGATTAACTCTGTGAACCCTACAGTAATATCTCCCTTGGTGAAAACATAGTTTAGCATGTGAACTGATATCTACTAGCTCTGATATTCAGAGCTCATGCTCATAGTGGCCTTTGTCTGTGGGCACATGGAGGACAAGAAGGTGCTCGAGAGCAGTCAGCATGGATTCACTTGACTTTGCTACTTCAGGCTTGACATTCCCTGTCTGCAAGAACCATCCTCCCCTCCACGTCCGCAGCATTCTCGGCCCAGGAGGCAGAGGGGAAGGACAGCGCATGAGAGCAGCCTGGCACAGCACAGCCCCACGGCAGCTGGAGCCAAGTATTCTAAACGCAGAAAGGCAAACACAGAGGGAAATGCAGACCTTATTGCTAGATAGATCATTTATTAAAGTGAAACTCGGCATTTTCATCTTTGTCAGACAGTACAGAGTTAAAGTCTCGTACACAGTGGAAGCAGGACATTTCCTGCACCTCAGAGAAATGAGTTCTACGGTTTTTGCTATAAGTTACTAAGTTGCTTTACCAATACACAGCTATATTACAGTTAGAAATACAAGGTGTCCAAAACATTTGGCATAAGATCAGCACAACACATGGAGCCCAGAAGCAGAGGAGGGCGCACGCTCCCTCTCCCGGTGCCTGCTGAAACACTCGGAGCTGCTCTGCAGGTTCCCTCACCCCGAGCCCTGCTCGACGGGACGCGACGGGCTGCGCCGCCGCTCGCCAGGGGAGCTGAGGGATAAGGCAGGGATCCCCCCGTCGCCCCACACTGTCTTCAGCTGTTTAATGCAACAGGCAAGTCAAAAAGGGAAGGGCAGGGTTAGCTGTGAAAAGTGCAAGGAGTATCTCACATCCTAACAGTTAATTTGCACTTTGGAAGTGGGAAACAAACTCCCTAACTTGAAAAGCTAGGGGTGGTTAAACGGCATCAGTGCCAAGAGCAGTGAGGCATGGACAACATTCCTTCACCTTTGGGGCTCCTCGGCCAATGCTCTGGGTGGGACGAGGACTCCTTTTACAAGGGCTTGTACCTCTCTCACCCACTTTTGTGGAACCACAGAGGCCAAGTGACGCTAGTGCTGCAGGGAAGCGCAACAACCGCCAGTGTGAACACACGTCCCGCAGCACCCGCGATGCAGCCACCCCCAAGAGCTCCCCGGGGTGCTCCCATGGGGCTCAACCAAGGGACGTGAAGTGCACAGCCTCCCCCTCCTCCTCCTCTGCTTAAACACCCAGTTAACACAGAGCAAACGTTCCCCCAGCTGCTACCAGGGAGGTGTTTCACCCCGTCCCCGCAGGGACCGCGCTCCGTTTCATCTGCTCTTTGCTATCATGACCTACTTGAAACACGCGCTCACTGTGCGGTACTTTGGCTCTTGATTTCCAAGCCTCTGAAACCAGCTTGCACTTGAAACTAACTTTTAATGCCAGACAATATATTTTGGTGGTCTTGCACACCAGGGTATCTAACGGTTTACAGCCACGCTTTTAAGAAAAACTGGGACACCAGAGCACTGGGGGCAAGCGGTACAAACCTACAAACCTGCCTCCTCTGCTTTCCTCAGCCCAAACATCCAAAGTGCCTGGCAAAAGAAAGACTTCAGGTTCATGTACAATATTCCTTGAGATGCAGAGATTTATGAAAACTGCATGCAAACAGGATGTATTCACACTTTTCAGCCATCAAAATGCCACCAGCTCAAGTCTTTACACACCTCAAACTCCCTGGAGTGGAGCTCAAGCCAATAATTACCAGCAATCGCTGTTTCTTCTTTCCTTAAAGAGAGCAGAGGGTCAGCACACAGGATAAAATCAAGCCTGGAAGAGATATTTCCACATTATTTGTATGCTATAGTAATGGCTTTGGATCTGATCAGCTGTCTAACGAAGTGAATGCAGCTCTTCAGTGAGACTTGACTGAGGCTGTGTGATTGAAACGGGTTATGTAATGGCTGGAGATGCTCCCCGTGCCCCAGGGTGAATGTCACCTACACAGGCTTGCAGGAAACAAACGTCCAGTATTACAGGTGGAAGGTGCCAGGACCATCCTCCCTGCCCCCAAGGCTTGTGCTCCATGGTTCAAAGCTAGACAGAATTTAAGGCCCATCTGTGAAAACAAAATGCAAAAGGAAAAAAAAAGTCTCATTATGCCAGCCAAAGCGATTTGGGTCTTCCACCTTTCCAACGAGGCCCATCTTAAAAGTGCTGAGAAAATATCCTACCTCATGGCTTCACATGTGTGAGGTTCAGACACATTTACTTTGAATTTATTACTATTAATTTCTTTTTTTTTTTTTTAAGAAAAAAAGTTGGAAAGTCCTTTTAATTGGCATGCAGCATATGGAATCAAATACACAGAACAGTATTACACAGAATGACAATTGCATTGTTGCGTTTTCTGGTTATTAGACACTAAATGCTTTTCAAGAATCACAGGCACCCTGAACATGGATATTGCTACTGAATTGACTGTGACTTCAGTTTATAGCACGGCAGCCACAAGCGGCTGCCCTTCCAAAAAGACTTTGCCTTTCTTTTGCTCAAGGCTTGTTGCTCTAGCTAAGTTGAGAACAAGTTAATAAGGCATTTGCAAGGGTTTACAAGGCCATGGGGTCTGACCGCCAAAGACTCGGCTTCTTTGGTGTCTTGCCTCCCAGCTTACCACCTTATAAACGACTGCTAATGGCTGGTAAACATCTTTTCATCATCACAATTCACTAAGATTTTTTTTTTCAAAAAGTATAATTGCTTTAAGAGTGAGACCAACAACAATGACATTTTACACCAATCGACCATTATCAGAAGGGGGAAGAAAAACAAAAAACAAGTTTCCTGGATAACCCCTCCACACAAAATCACAGCAGTGAATACCCCTGAACAGATGGAACCTGCCACCATATCTTTGTGAAAAGAATCATTTTGCTGCTAGCTGCTAAAGCACCGCAACAGATTCATTTATTCTTAGAAATCCCACAACAAAAGAGCCCCCCTCCCCAAACAAATGGCAATTTTTACAATTTTGGTCTAGAAGTTACAATGAGGCAATACTTTGTCTCAGCTCAGAAACTCATTTTTTGCTTGGTGATATCCTCTGATGAACTCCTTCGAGAGGAACATGCGCCCAGAGAACGTCCCTCCCATCTCTCCTGAATGAGAGAAGCTAGATCGCCTTGACTAGTGTGGGAATTACTCCAGCCTTTCAGTAAGGAAAGGACCAGAGTAACTAGGAGATTTTTAAACATTCATGAAATAGTAACATAAGACATTCTCTCCTCATTCCTCGAACCCCTCCTCTGTCTGATGTTCCTAAAATCCACGCTGAACTGAATTGAGGAAATGCTGAAACAACCACGCTCCTCAAATCCTCACAAATGGGACACGTACCATAACAGAATTATTTCTGCATATGACACAAGACCTTAAAAGTGTTGAATTCTGTTGCACATGTATTTGGAATATTAGCAAACACTTCAAAGCTAATGCAGACAGCTTTAAATCATGACTTGACTGGTAAAGAGACCCTGGGAGAGCTTCAACAAGAGCTTCACTGGGTGAACCCTTCATGCCTTAGATGATCCAGCACCAAGCTGGGATTTTGACCTGCATGTTTAGTTCTTCAACAGAGCTTTATCCACTTTTGGAATATGAGAACCTGCTGCTGACAAAATTCTGGCCAATATTTTCCACTGTTCAGTTCATTGCTTAAGGCTTGTTGAGAATATACTCTCTAAGAGGAGTCTTGGCATCTCGTAACAGACAGGAGACATCGGTTAGGACAGCGAGGAAACAGAGTGGTGTGTAAAAAATAATTAAAAAGGAAAATCACAAGATCCCCTTGAATAGAATTTGAGGTCACTGGAGAACAGTCATTCAAAACCAGCACTTTCATAAGCTCCTTTTGCCAAAATAACCTCTGTGTTATTTGTAAGGACACCTTGGCTTTAAATAACAAAATCAGAGTGCTTTCCCCCCACAGCGCCCAGGCAGCGAGCACCAGCACACCACTCTGTTTCACAGATTTCTTATGAAACCACGTGCAATGCTCCCAAGAGATGAGTGACTCGGTAATTTTGTCCACTTGCAAAGACAGGTGAAATGCAACATGCTCCAGTTAGTTGACTACTCTAGTTATGGTGCTACAGCCACTAACAGAAATATGCTTTATGCTAAATGGAGACTGCTGAGAACACTGGTCTACGCAGCAGTTTTGGGACATCTGCTAAAGACTAATTTCAGTATAAGATCCATGTCACTTGTGACTGATACCTGATCTGATGGAGAGATTAAAAGGCAGATGTCTTAACCTGCTGTTTCACCTACCAGTGCTGAGCCTTGAATGGAAGGAAAATGCACATAATTGAGTGAATTAAATAAGCACTTCTACCAACATGATCAAACCCAGCAAATAAAGCTACATTTGCCTTCATACCACATTCTGAGGAAACACAGAAGTTCTCAAATGCTTACAGACAATTAAGTAGCAGTTCTTAAATAAAAGAAATTAGAAAAAAACAATTTCAATGAGTTATTTGGCTTCCATGTTGGGGAAAAAAAATAAAATCAGACCGGTCAAGTAACATTCACTGGAGTAGATTTGGTGTGCTGAAGCGTTTGTAGAAGTTTGGGACTTGAAGCACTGGCTCAAGGCAAGACAAATCACGTGTAGGTGGGGACCAAGCTCCAGAGAAATTTCTGACCCATGCACCTTGATCATGACTTTCCTCTCTGCTGCTATTCCAGTCCTGTGCCAAGATAAATTGCACGGTGGTTTTGTGGTGCAGTCTGAATGCAGTGAATAAATTCCATTTGTGGTCTAAATTGCACTGAGATGCAGATTTCCAGAAATGGTTTAAAACACCAAGTTGACAAACTCCACAGTCCTAGAGATTTACTTTATTTCTCCATTAACCTCACTCCTTTATTCCAATGTGATTTTGAAATGAGGGGAAGAAAAGTCTTCAGAAACATGCTGGTCACGTGTTCAAATATTCCTGATAAGAACATCTATATTTTCTGTCATCCAGACTTACTGCATTTTTTAAAAAATTTACAATATACTTCAATAGTTTTTATATACCTAAAATGCACAATACCATCCGTTCCTTCAAGGTCTCTCTTATTCCAAGGTCTGTTAATCTTCATTCTAGTTGCTTGCTACCTTCTGATTTCTGATCCAGCCTGCTCTTGTTGTTCTTCACCATATAGATAAAATAAGCAAGTGTCTCTTTCTCATTCACAGGAATATTCCTGAAGTGACGGCTGACAGTCTAGAAGGACAACACAGAAAGAGACAGAAATTCTGAAATTAGAAAGTAGATACAATCATAACTGGGGGTTCTTTGCACTTTCCAAGACTGAGTTTATGGCCACTGAGCATAATAAACTTTTAGGCAAACATGCACCAATTCAAACTGTCAGTCCTCATTTACCTCTCTTTGTCTTTACAGCTGGAACGTGCGTATGAAGAAAGCCCCATCTTGCCACATCAGCAGTATCTGCAGCCAGCCTACAAGTGCAATTTGGAAGCCAGAATGCCCTCCTGCCAAAGCAGCACAGCCTCTCCTAAGTGGCACTTCACGCCGAGATTATCTGGAGAGCAAGTTTTACCTGCATCTCAGTATTTTAAATGAGAATGTCAGAACGCTTTCCTACACGAATCAGACACAGCAAAGATTTAGAATCAACAGCGAAGCTAATGAGACTCTTTGTTCAAAGGAAAAGGCCCGGGCCAGCTTTCACCAAAGGAAGGAACACCAGGGTATGCGCAGGGGGCAGGCCAGGGTCCACCTAGGGCTACCCTTCCCTGGCACGAGCATAAACCATGAACCATCAGCTGCTTTTTCTTGGAAAATGGATGTGAGAAACATCTTGAAACTGGTGAGGAGATCTGCTTCTCGTATAGAGAAGCACCATTTTGGTATCCAGTACAGCTCCAGAGCTGGACTTGGATGCAGGCTGAGCAATGAGTCACTCCAAGATTTATGGAAGTTGGAATTTTCCTTACGGTGGGTTAGCAGCAGGTGTCTAAGAGCCTCAGGCAGCTGTGAGTCAAGCATGGGAGCTGGACGAGGATCCAGCGTAGGGTCAAAGCTGCTCAGACTTCACAGGAAATCTGGGAAGTGTGTGACAACTTTAAGTTAGGCTCCCCTTAAGGTTATTTTCGGCTTGCATAGCAGTTTTTCTTTTTTTTTTCTCCTGGGAATATTTTGATAAATTGCCAATGTAGGTGGTACTTCACAGCAGGAGGTAACTGAGGGACTAGGGACTGGTTCATTAGAACATGACAAATCAGATCTTCTAGTGAGGACATACACCTGTCCTGCTTCATTCACCCGGCTTCTCCATGCACTACCCTACACATTCTGTACATTCGTTTGCTAGTTAGCTCCGGAAAAGCAAGAAAGAGTTTTGCTGGCTTTTTTATTTTACTTTTTGTCTGTTTTGGATATCTTAAAGCAAAAGCCCAACTGGTAGTTTCTCTAAGCTTAGAGGAGACTTTTCTGAGCGAATGCCTTCGGATCAGCTCAGGAGGCAGAGCAGATGCACACCAAGCACACCTAGCCCAAACAGCAGAACTGTGCTTTTAATAAATATCCCATGTGGTGTGAAAGAACCAGGAGAGGCCTTAAGGAAAGAGCCTTTTGTTGAATTAGAAATGCAAAATGCCAGGCAAACAGAGGAAAACATGGAATCTGAAGTCATGGTAAGTGATTTTGCCTTTAATAATAAGCAATTCCAACAAGTTCAAGCAGCTGTGAGAAAAACAAAAATAAAAACAAAACAAAACAAAAAAACCCACAACCCACACACTACCAGAGACACCAAAAGTGACTGTTAGTATGAAGTCCGAGTTTCAGCAAGACTAATACGCAGGCCACTAGAAACTACGATCTGTTTTTGTTCCCTAAAGGGGACTATAATTGACTCTGACTATACACAAGGAGGGAAAGGACGCAAAGTGAGTGACTAAGGCATGCTGTGAAGAGGCAGCTTCCCAGACTTGCACGGCTGCCTCGGGTGAATGCGAGCGTGCGGCTTCAGGTCAGCACATCCCTGAAACCTGCCACGGAGCCTAGTGCACTGCAGTAACCAGCGAGACAGCCACAGAGCCACCAGCGTTACTGACGGCCAAGAAAAGGACATCCGAGCAGAGAAGGAAACACAGCTTTTCAGTAACACCGATAATACAACTTCTGTCATCACTTACTTCTGCTAGCTGAGCTTTGTTGAGTCCAGGCCTAGTCTGCAACTTATAATGCCTCTTGTAACGTCGCAGTGTATTCACTTGGAGCTGGAACAAGTCAACCTAGAAACGATGCAGAGATGGGAGATGAGCACCACTTTTAACTTCCATTAAGCAGAAATGCAAAGTTCTCTAAATATAATGCTTTCTACCTCGAGAGAACTGTTCCTTACCCACGTTCAGAACCATATCAGCTTGCCTTGGTGACAAATCTAAGTATATTTTGTACTTGTTAATGTTAAAGGACCAAACTATCCTCAGGGGAATACAAAATTTTGTTCTGGTTCACTTGCTGTCAACAGAACTGCTGGCCAATTTCTGCTCTCAATTACACCTCTGCAGCCTCTGAACAAAGGGGAGCCTTTAGCTCCCATCCCACAAGGTTCAAAAGGCTCACATATGAGACATCACTTTAGCAGGCACTGAACAAACAGCTTGTGACATAAAGCAGAGCACAAGGATGGAGAAGAAATAAATTCAAAGATTTCAATGGGAAGTAGAGAATTTAAAAGCAGGGGGAGGTTACAGGAAGGAAGATGAAGATCACGTGGGAAATGTCATGCTTCAAAGACAAAAGGAAGCTCTGTTGAAAACCAAGAAGAAAGGGCATTACGTCTGATATACTGCAGAGCCCCCCATTGAGTTTATGTGTCAGTTTGCAGCCACCAAACAGCCTGTATGTTGGACACAGCTGCAGTTTTTAGATGCTCGTTGGCTCTTCACTAATCATTCTGCTTCCCAAAGCTAAGCCTGTACTGGAAAGTTCTGGCAGAAAACTCCATTGAACAAGGGCACGAATAACTACAACAGTGACTCCAAAAAGAAAACAACTCCCAAACATGATACTCCCCACCTCACACACACTTTCTCTTCCAGGACCTCCAGCATGGACATTTGTTTTGCTGGCAAAACAAACAATTCCCGCTTTCTCAGATCAAAAACGTCTCATGCCAGCCCGTGCAGCAGCCGCAGCAGAGAGCTCCACTGTGAGCATCTCCTCTGCAAAGTTTTTGCAGTGTCAGTAGTACCAGAAACATCACCAAAGCAAATACTGCAAACAGTGACACTGAAAAGAGATTATTCTAGTGTTTTTGTGGCACAGAAATAAAAAGACATTAGGAATATGGTCTGTGATTTGAAGGCAGGTTTAAATGGAATCAAAATATTGTATGCCATTTATCATAAAAAGGTCTGGGGACGCTCAGCAGCTCTGGACTCCATCAAAGCAAGCACATAGCACCAGAGTGACTAGGCTCTAGCAGCTTTGCAAGATGATGGATGCTGGGAAAAAACAACCGTGACAACAAACAACCAGGCATTGCTAAAAACATCTCATTTCCACCTTTAAAAGAAGATGCGTGCTCAACATTATTTTAACACCTCGGTGTTTGGAAGCTCTGCATACATGGAGCTGTGCAGTTCCTATCATTCCTGTCCTTGTAGAAATCTTTGTACGTGCAAAGAACCCATCCAATGAGAAATTAGTTTAAAACTAAGGAAGTTTCAATAAAGCTGCATCTTAAAATTTATATATTGTCACAGTAATTAAAGTTTCCAAGGGAAACTACAACGTGCTCAAAATCTACAAAGCATCTTACACCCGCTTCCGACCCTACTAACCTCTGGGACATCCGTTTCATGCTCAGGAGAGTCGCCTCCATCATCACTTGTCTTCCTCTTTCTTTTGTTTCGAACACTCTGAATGAAATTCTTGTGGAAATCACAGATATAGAGATGTCTCACCTAAGAATCAAAAGTGGGGAGAAAACAATTAATGCAGGCACTGCAAAACGAGCACCCAACAGCAGCCACTTAAGACACTTGGATTTTAGAGGAACACTTCCTACCTCACCACGGACAATAAGGAAATTCTAATCTTAAAGCCTGGGCCTGTTATCATACTCCGGAATTAATGATACTTTACATTATAAACACTAAAGACAGGGGAAGTGAAGGACTCGAGAACTCCAGCTGAACCTGAATCTCTGCTCATAATTCCTTTCTTTATGGCTGTGGTTACACGTCAAGGGCGAGGGAGGCAGGAAGGGGGGTTGTTTCAGGAGTTATTACCAGGTGGTTAAGAAAAATATTATTCTGTTCTGTGCTTCTCAACTTTCTTGTCTGAATGGTACATGAGATTATTAATGTGAGTCGTTTCAAAGGCAAGCCAGAAGAAAACCTCAGCTAAAACAAGCAAATTGGAAGAAAAAAGAATATTTTCTTCTGCAGCTCATCCTATTATGGAAATCAATTCTTAGCGGATATTAATCTCACAACGACTAGTAAATACATAAAAATGGACCACAAACGACCAACACTGACTGACAGCAAAGCACAAATATCTCCAGACAGGAAACGCACCCTTGATTCGAAATCACTTTATACCGCCAGCTTCACACTGCCCCTTCGTTGTCAGTTTCATTAGAAATAAAGAGAAGAAACCAGGCAAAACTATTTCAAATTTAGCCTCTCTCCTCACAAGATATTTGCGTTTTGGCAGCATAAAAGGAACCCAACCAAGTGGAGGAACTGTGAAACAGCCCGTCTTGAAACTCCGCCTTTTTGTGTGATTTTTTTGCGTGAATTGTGTGTATTTCTCAAGGCCGGGTGAGAACGGCGCCCGGGGAGCAGGGCTGTGCCGGCAGGGCCGCCTTTGCGGGGCTCCCCCCGCAGGGCCGCCCGCTCCCGCGCTCCGGCCCGGCGCTGTCCCCGCTGTCACCCCGCGACACGCGCTCCCCGCGCTCCGTCGGTTGCGGCAGAGCGTTTTCTCCCCGCTTTCCGTTACCAATCCGCCTTCCTAAACGAGGGGCACGCCGGCACAGGGGGTGGAACCCGCAGCGCTTCTTCCCCGCTCGGCAGCACCCGCGTTTTGCGAGGCAAGAGCAGCGCGGGGCCCGGGAAGCGGCCGGGGCCGGGCAGGGCGCGGGGCCACTCACGCTCTTGTCGATGTCCAGCTTGAGCTTCTTCTGCGAGATGCTCTTCTGGATGCGCTTGCTGAAGGACGCGTGGCCGGCGGGGCGCGCGCAGCGCTCGCCGTCGTCGATGAGGCAGCAGCTCTGGCCGTAGAAGGGGGCGGCGGGAGGCCCATCCCGGCTGTCCTCCTAGGTG